GTCGAGTTAGACGCAAAAGCGACTATCACATGACCATGCAAGTTACTAGTAATTCCTTACCAACGGTGCCGTTCCCTCGATCTTTCTATAGAGAAGCCGAACCTACCCTAAATGCTGATAGCAGATTCCTGTTCTTTCGCTGGAAATCTATAAAGTCTTGAAAAGGTTCGCACACGACCGCAAGACTAATTTGACGCAATGCGAATGGAAAGGGTTTAAAGAGTTACGTGAATCTGTCGAAAAACACCCAATCCGAATATCTGTAAGCGACAAAGAGGGCGAATTTGTTGTGATGCCGCAGTCCTTAGACAAAGAAATCGCTGAGCTACATCTAGCAGACATGACAGTCTATAGGCCTGCGTCTAAGAAGGATTATCAGAATCAATATAGAAAACTAAACGACATTTGGACTAATGTGGCTAGATGCGCTGGTCTAGATGAACGATTTGTAAGTAGGTTGAAGTTAGACACTCCAAATTGTCCAGCTTTCTATCATCTGATAAAAACGCACAAAATCGCGTCACAAGATTTACACTCTATGTCGCCCGAAGTCTTCAACATCCGACCCATAATTAGCTGTATTGGAAGACCGACAGATCGTATTTCGTGGTTTCTAAATAAAATCGTGAGACAGCTCTTGACAAAGGTACCGGCACACCTATCTAACACTCAGCAAATCCTAGAGCTTTTGCACAACACGAAGCTTGAACCTAGTGTTTTCATGGAGTCCTTCGATGTGACTTCCTTGTACACTAACGTTCACAACGATGATGCATTACAAGCTCTCTTGGAAACGTTATATAAGCATATAACGACCATAAGTACCTTTGGACTGAGTAAAACGCAAGTACTGACCCTCACACGAGCATGCTTGAGTTGTAACATCTTTAAATGGTCTGGAAGATACTTCTCCCAGAGCCGATTACTCGCAATGGGCCAGCGCTTAGCGCCAGTCCTTGCTATGTGCTTTGTGAGTAGAATTGAGGAGCCAGTGCTTGCGCGTATGTCACTGATGTACTGTCGTTACATCGATGACTGCTGCGTAATAACGTCTACTCAATCCGAAATGGATGAGTGTTTCAAGTTGCTAAACCAGCATTCCGAGTACATCAAGCTCACTCGAGAAACCCCATGAAACGGGTGGCTTCCTTACCTTAACACTCAGATCAACTTTTTCGGTGGTGTTCTCCGTGTTAAATGGTATCATAAAGGAAGCTCTAAGAACATCTTGGTCCATGCCAAATCGGCTCACCTCACGGAGATGAAAAAGCGGTTATTCATAATATGATGAAGACTGCTTCGATGGTGTGCACGGGTCACGAAGAACGGTTTGAGTCACGAAAGCTAGCATCGCAAATCGCGCGCAGCAACGGATATGTTTTGCAAGAACATCGGCGTGTTAAACAACATCCCGAAAATCATATCCGAACTCAATGCGATGAGATCCCTCTTTGCATGCCGTTTATTTCAGACGAAGTTAGTAAGGCAATCAAGCAATGCATTCATAGAGCCCAACTGCAGGATGATGTGATGCTTGTCGATATCCCGAATAGTAATATAAAGAAGCAGTTGGTGCGAAACAGGCTTTATGATAGCGATTGCATGATGGAGCATTGTATTGTTTGCCCCTATGGCAGAGTAGGAGATTGTGCAAAGGCGGGTGTGGTGTACCAGCTAGAATGTCTGACTTGCCATAACTGTTATATCGGAGAGACGGGTAGAAATCTAGGTGTAAGGTTAAAGGAACACTTAGCCAGCAAAAGACGAGGGACTCCAGCAGCACCGTTGGGACGGCATAAGACTGAGGTACATGGCGGAAATGATTATGAAGTTAAATGTACGATTCTGACCTATGAAACCGAGATATGCGCCAGGAAAATCTTCGAAGCCGCACGGATCAGTATCCAAAATCCAGAGCTGAATGTCAAGAATGAGTGCTTGTCTATCAGTAGTGTTAGCTCCATTCATATCATTATGTGAGCTTAGTGACGCACATAAAAGGGCTTGACTCACTGAATGACACTCAGTGACGTCCGTTACCATCAAATGTGCGGGCTTGTCGCTAGCTGGTGGAGTCAAGGTTTGTTCGTTTCCTGGCTTTGAGGGTCTCATGCTTGAGTCTCAGACTAGGTCTAGACTGACACAGTGGGAAGAGGCGCTTGAAGGTATGGTGAGCAGGTCAAATAGCCTACAATCCGTTTTGAGACCTCTGATGATGACGCCGATGTCGAAACGTTAGGTCAATAAAGTCTCCACCGCAGAATCTGGTTGGCAAACACATTACTTACTGACATAAACTATCATGCCTAGATTCAAAGATAAAAGAGCAATCAACTTACTTGCAGCATTTGTTTTCTCATTCCAACTAATACGATTTTTGACGACGAGGATTTAGTGATTCTTTAGACCGCTTATAATGTTTTCATAGCATTGTAGGTTTGACCAATTGTTTTCGTTACAAGCGTAAATGTTACTGTCATGAATTCAGATCACTCTTGATTACTAATGGCTTATAGCAGCACTGGGCGAGTTGAAACGTTTGCTTATATGCTTGTACGAATATCTTTGCTGTATAAGTCGCAAAGCCATTCAAAAATCAATTTCTGTAGCGCTGTAAACACTTAAGCAGATAGAAAAAAAGCACTTCGATCAGTTTCAATTTGCTTGGAAAACTGGCTATGGAACTGGTCTTTTTTGGTGCTGATTATAATGCCGCGCTTGAATGTTGGATAGTTTATCTAAAATGAACTTACTGCGCAGTTTATGATTGTGGTACTGATACAACAAACATTTGAAAAGAAACATATGATCTACTTTCTCAGAAAGAAGTTCGTGATGTTTGAATAACGCTACAAATAGTCGTGATTCTCAAATTTTCTGCGAGAGTTTGAGGTCGTTGCAAATCAAATCTTCAATGAATACCATCAAATACTGCACTTCTTAATACAAAGAAATCTTATAAATAATATATTAGGTGGGTCCGAAACTTCGTGCCGTTTTTTGGACCTATCCTCAGATCAATCAAGATAAAGATAGACAAATACCCTAACAAGGAAAGGATAGTTGATGACCGTGACCTTTTTAAATGAAATATATACCATTAAATGTATCTTGTAGCGCTGATTCGAAATCTGCTTTCGTTATATGCTGTGCGCTCTTCCAAAAGAAGTTTTGAAAATTTCTTGATACCAAAATCTGCACCGTTTTGATGACATGATTCACCAATATCGTTAAAATGTTCACTTACGCACTACTAAAAAGTATCCAAATGAAATAGAGCATCACGTTGAGCTCAGAAAAGCTATCTCCGATATAGTCGAACTTAGGAAGCCTAGATGCTGACGATTCTGACTGCCAAGATGTCGTGAAATTAATATGGAAAAAGTCCAAAACTTCGTTTGGACAGTCGCACAGCAGATAATGAACATAGATTTGGAATCAGCGTTTGAAGACGGCATCTACCGGTATACGCCTCGTGGCAAAAGGGCACGGTCACCAATTATCCTTCCCTTGTAAGAGGTATTCTACGCTTTTCCTCTTTCTAGCAGTAATGTTTTTGTTCGAATTCCTTCTTTCGAATAATCGCCACAATCTCCAACCAATGCATTTCACGTACCCTAACCTTAGCTGTTTTTTGAAATTTTTGTTCTAAACTTTTGGAAATGCTTAAATAACAGTTTATTAGAATAAACAAAATGCTATAAAACCCAATTTTTTAGCATCAGTATTTTTGAAAACAAGTTTTCCAAAAGTCTTCACATATGCGAAATCTTGAGAATAAACGCCGCTTCAAACATTATGAAATCTTCGTAAATTGGAACTTCCAGAAATCGATTATGTTTAAGCACTAATTTCAAAAGACAAATGAGTTTCTACCGTTTCGAAAGATTGATTTTTGGAATTTTCGGGTGCAGCCTGGACGCACGCAAAACTAAAATTATGGCAATTTTTTCCTCGAGGCCCTCACGAATCGGAAAGGGAGAGCATTTATCAAGAAGAGGCGGAGAAGCTGCGTCAGATGACACCCTAGCTGTTTGCCGTCTGATGTTCTATAAGGATTGGGATGCCCAGATATGGAAATTGATAGCATCGTGAAAATATTCTTAAAAATTTTGAAAGCCAGCTATCAATGCCAAAATATTTTTTTCCATTGCATTTTGTACTCTATCTTACTGTTACTCAATTATTTTCAAAAGTCAGGGACAAAATTTTTTCAAAAAAGTAGTAAAATTATAGGTTGAACATTCTGACGATTAAGCAAACTACAAAGAAATCCGGACAGAAACATTACTGCTGGAAAGAAAATGTCTGCCTAGGATAATTCCTAGAGTATTTGTCTATCTTTATTCCGAATGATTTGAGGACAGGTCTAAAAAATGGCACGAACTTTCGGATCCACCTAATATAAAGCTGTCCTTTTGTTTGTTTATCTTTCTATCTGCGTCTGTTTGCTATTTGTTTGTCTGTCTGTCTCTCTTGCCCCCCTGTTTTTTTTTTCTGCCTTTGTCTGACTTGTCCGGCGAGGGGCGTGAAGAATCCTAAGGCTACTTTTCATTGTCGATCAGTGTTGACTTATTGATAAGCATACTCTGGGCTGGATAATAATTGATACAGGAGGGACGTGGTCATGCTGAGCTAATACAACACTCACTTCAGAAAGTTGATTGCTTTAAGAATTATATGCATAAACTATGTATAAAGTGCATATATTAAATCTACTGTATCTTTATATTTTTTGCTAAACTTTGAGCTGGAAAGCTTGAAGTTGGTACAGATGCGTGTATGTACATACATATATGCTAATTACATAAGCATATTGTATGGAAATATACCCATTGCATCAACTGACTTATTAGATTTTGCAATTTTTAGCGAGGGGAGGGAGAAGTCTTACGGATGCATAGTTGGTCCTAGGGCGCATTAGCAGAGTAACGGACGCTTCACATTCACAAAAGCCTGCACCTGCGGACAAGCTGAATCCATCGTTCTCGCTAACAAAGTCTTACAAGAAACTTTGTTTTCACTTTAACCCAACAAAACACGATTTCATAACTTCGAAAATTGTCTATGAATTCTTCTGCGGTACTTTGATCGTTACTGTCTTGACTTCCGTGTATGCTTCAAGGCCATATTCTCCTAACTCACGACCGATACCTCAAATGAAGAGCTATCTTGTTGCGGCCAAAACTGAGAAGGATGGAACGCTTACCCGATTGCTTGTAACCACCAAATGGCGCTCCCGCGTCGAATACGTCGTAGCAGTTTACCCTTCAAACAAAAAACTTCTTATCATAATTTTTTGTATAAAATTAGTCAGAAGAGAAACTAAAGAATATAAATCAATTGAAATATTAATCTATAGTGGTCTTACTTACAATGGAACGATACTCGGTGTCCGTGGCCTTTTGAGATCAAACTTGTACCATCACACCGTCTTGGAACTCTGATTCCGAATCTGACTTTCTTTTCTGCTAATCGTTTCTCCGACAGAAGTTATGAAGGATTTTCGCGTCAACGGTCGCCCAAGAGAAATGGTTGAAAATGATTAACTTTGAAAAAAAGCTTGACTGAGTAAGCCTTCAATGACTTGTGATTCTATCGCACTAGCCGCTGAACCACATCGTGGCTGAGGTTTTGGTATTCTGACCTTCCTTCCCTTAGCGCAAATTGCTTCATAACTTTTCTCAGGAAAACGGTTAGCAAAAGCGGAACTCAGATTCGCAATTAACGCTCTAAGGCGAGTGTAATGGTATATATCTCATCTCAAAAATGGACATCAAGTATCGTTCGTTTGTATGATTACTTACCATACAGAACCCGCTCGTATATTATTGGCAACATAAAGCGCTTTATCAATGTCATTTGTCACAACTGCAGCAGCTAGACCATATATGGTATTATTTGCTATCTCAACCAGGTCCTTCATCGTATCAAATCTGATCACGCTCATCACTGGTCCAAATATCTGGAAATGTTCAGTTTTACGATGGAACTCGAGTTTAATAACCAGCTTGAAGCAAAAAAATTTTGGATGGTAATCTGGAGCTGTGAGAAGGCTTTTCGAAAATTTGACAGAAGCTACCTCTTCTTGTGCAATCACCATCTTGTCTTTCACATCCGCGAAAATGGTTGGCTCATAGTAGAATCCCTTATCGCCCCATTGTTTTCCACCTGAAAGGCAAGAACTTGGAATGCTACAATTCTGGGATAGTGTCATCCGAAGTGGTTACATCACTTACCGCAAACGAGCTTAGCACCCTGCTTCTTACCAGATTCCACATATCGGATAATGGTTTGTAGCTGAGCATCGTCTATCTGAAAACAAGAATCTAATGAAATGAGCTGATTAGACGAAAAGTGATTACCTGAGGACCTTGTTCTGTCTTCAAATCAAATGGATCACCGAGCACACGTTTTTCTGCCAACTCTTTCGATTTTGCGATGAAATCGTCATAAATCTAAAAAATCCTACGTAGGATCATAAATAACTTTATCAAAACTCACTTTTCCTTCAACAAAAACTCTAGATCCTGCACAGCATGTTTGACCTTGGTTGAAGAATAATCCAAAGTGAGCCTGATTAGCAGCAAAGTCCACTAAAATGATGTATTCGATGCTTGCAAAAAACTCAGTTTATAGCTCTCAGTTCAGTCTTCTTTCTTTCCTTCTTCCCCCCTCCCCCGGGGCCTGATGAATGCTTGTGAGTAAAACGCAGTGTAGATATTTTCTTCGAAAAATCACAAAATATTTCTGCTTTGTCAAAATCTCACTACATAGAAGCGGAAAGTTGGAAGCAGATAAGGGCAATTCTAGAATGTGATGCCTCACCCCTAACCACAATCGGAAACGCTTTAGAGCATACACTGGATTTCGCTGCGGATATGCATGTTTACAAGGGAAGGATACTAAGCGTTTCCACGTGAAATGTATACATTATGTACTGTGTACTTCTGTAAGACTTGTAGCTTGGAAAGCTTTCCAAATCTGCTTTTGGTATCTGCAGAGCTATCTGTATTTATTGTATCTTATCATTTATTTTTTATTTTTTATTTCTTTATTTATCGTATCTTTTGGTACCTGTATACCGCTTCTGGGATGGGAATTATAGTAATTTTTTGAAGCATAAATTTGGACGCGCGGTAGAACAAAGTCATTTAGAACTGTAGTCTGTGAACCCAAATGGGGCCATGATCACTGCCAGGAAGCTCTATTCAGTTTACCTCCAGTATAATAAGCTCATGCTACTGATTATCTCTTTCCAGTGCCGGGAAAACTTCAACTTTGTTTTTGCCCCAGCCAAACCCTTGAAATTTTGCCCCAAAAGATTCACACAACTCCCCTCCCAGAAGCGCGTCTAGAAGACATTACTCAGACACTCGAGCGGCGCGCCCTAATTGAGGCTGCCGCGCGAGCGGCGCGCTTTAGTTGAAGCTGCAGTGCGAGCGGCGCGCCCTAGTTGAGACTGCGAGCGGCGCGCAATTTTATCAGTGAGCGGCGTGCCATGTTGTCTACCGCATTCTCACACGCTGTAAGCACAAGCGATATCCGCGTCAAGTACGATGCAATGTTTTGGGTGCTTCATCGCTAATTCACTGAGGTTATCGCCGCTTTGCGATGGAGTTGTCTCATTGACAAAAGTGAAGTTCTTCTATTGAGGGTCAGTCTTCATAAGCATTGCAAGTAGATGCCGAGTTTGAATCCGAGTTTGGAAATTTGAATTCTTGAATTTTCGAAATTTGAATTTTCAAATTCAAAATTTGGAAACTTCAAGTTCATTTTTTTCAACTCGAATTCCAACTTTGATTATTTGCCTGAAGTTGAGGGGTTGTCACCAGGTCTACTACAGATGCATCGTGATTCGCAGTGCTTCAAATGCAAATGGCAATTTTCATACCGTGCGAGCGGCGTGCCATTAGCGTGTGGTGCGCGTACCATTTACTTGCGCCGCGCGTTCCACTTAGGCCCCGGGAAGACTTTACGCGATTTGATCGTCGCGACTGAATCGCGACGAGACAACTGTTACAACATCATTCCATGCCGATCAACTTGCATTCGGTTGTCATACTTTTCCAGCCCGAAATTTTTGAATGTGAAATGAAAATGAATGAAAATCTTGGCGATTAGATCGCGACGATTAAGTCGCGTGAAGTCTTACCGGGGCCTTACGGCGCGCGTACCATCTATCGTCGACTCCCCAACTTTGGCGAGGCGGATCCATGATGATCAACAAAGATCAATGGATCAGGTATGCCTCAGCACAGGGTAACCGCAACGCAAGAGCAGCTAGCGCAGCTCCGCCTCGCCGAAGTTGAGGAGCCGCTCATACTCGCGGCGCGCGCGTCCCATTTGACGGCCGGCGGCGGGGTAGTGCCCGCGCGCATATGGCGCGCGCGACGCCGCGGCGAGTGTCTAAGTTAGGTCGCCGAAAAGGGAGGTCTCGCGCGGACATTCGCAACAAATCACGCGTTTTCACCATTACTGCTCCTGTTAGCGGTCCCCGAGGGTGGCGGCTATTGGCGACCTAATGTACTTTACCCTAAAAGCGCTTTGCATTTAATGAAAGCAGATTCAGAACCAGCGTTCCAGCGTTCTATAAGGTAGTACATTTCACATGTAAACCCGGCTTAAAACAAGTATTCCATCTTGTCCTTCCCTTGTTATACGAATAAAATACAAAGTAAAATAGAAAAGATAACTTGGTCGACTCACAATCACAATCGGAGAAAATGATGTTTGGGCTTTTGCCACCCAGCTCTAACGTTACTTTCTTCACATTACTTTGTGCCGCTGCTTGCATTACAAGTTTTCCAATCTCCGTTGATCCAGTGAATGCAACCTTGTCAACGCCCATATGTCCGGAAATGGCTGCACCTGCGGTTGGACCGTATCCAGGAATGAGATTGACTACGCCGGGAGGAAATCCTGCCTAAATTAGAAATCCAGTGGAATATTACGGATTCTCTTGCAACAAACCTCTTTGATAAGACTTGCTACGTGAAGAGCTGAGAGAGGTGTTTGCTCTGCAGGTTTCATAACAACGACGTTACCCATACAAAGTGCAGGCCCAAGTTTCCATGCTTGCATCAGAAGCGGGAAGTTCCACTGAAAACGTACATCCTAGATAAGCCGTGACAGTAGGTGCAGATTCCCTAATTCTCTCAATATTTTTCAGTTTTCTGTTCAAATCTTAATAGTATGTAAAAAGATGCCTAATCCTCTCAAAGTTTTTTTTCTCAGTTTCCTATTTTGAAGACGAGAGGTGGGTAAGTGGTAATGTGCAACAGAGAAAGCAGTCACATCTATGGCTGCTTTTTATTTATTGTTAACTCATGCGACATTTCTCATGGCGACTCATAGGCATCGCGACCGCGCCGGCGATGAACGTCAAATTGAGCTGTGCCTGAGCCTGTCATGACACCTACTCTTCTCTTATTTGAGACAATGCTTCAATTCGTCTTTGCCTAGTTGTCTCAATTCGTTTTAGATAGTCTTATTTTCTGCGCAATTGAGTTTTGTAAAAATCGAAAAACTCACGGGAATAATCTGCCCGCAGACCCCAACCGGCTCGTGCCTTGTGTAGGTGAAATAGTCGCCACGAATTGGAATGGTTTTTCCGTGGTTCTTATCCGCGAATCCGGCATAATATCTGAATGTTTATTAGAAAAATAAGTAAATTAGAATTTTGATCTACACTAGCCTGATGCATGCTATCGATAATGCTACATCAGCAGCATACGCCAGACCATATGGTTTTCCGTTATCGAGTGCTTCTAGCGACTGTAATCAAGCAATTCAGCTGAAGCTTGCAACGTATACCCTAGTAGTTTCGATAGCTGACAACCATCACTCAGCGCATGTACTGAAGAATTGCGTAATGCAATAAACCTCACGCGAAAATATTGTTAGCGACGCAAAACACCACATTTTCACATCAAATCTGCTATATTGTACTGAGCTAACACTTCCACTCACTGCAAGAATAACATGGTCCCGTTCCATGAGATCTGCAAGTTTGTTCATGAGAATTCCACGTTGCGCTGCATCCATGGTGCGCCATGGTGAACCAAGTCTGAATGCTTCGGTTGCAGCCTGCAAAATATACTGTATGACTGGTCTCAAAATGACGAACTAGTAATTCGTCTTTTTTAGAAACAGACGCAATTAATCAGAACGAGTAGCAAAAAGTTCGTTAAACGGGCAGACTCTATCGATCAAAACAACAAATGCAGTTCCTCTTCTTTTATATTCTCGTTGCTTATATAAGTGTTAGATATAATAGTGATATGATGGGGCAAAACGTTCTGAGTAAAATTTCCTTTTAGAATAAAACTCAAAACAGTGTTCTATGATTTGCCAGTGGAGAGACTCCTGCATGCTTTGATAATGCTATTCGAGAAGTTCTTTAGGTTCCTCAGCACACAGGACATCCATGGATGAAATATTTTCAACTCTCGAAGGATCTATAACATCTCTTGTAAAAACATCCCTTACCTAGGTGATCTTCGAATTATAAGAAAGACTAGCTGGCTTACCCGGCTCCGCCGTATCCGGACCAAACTTGGCACACATACACTTCGGGCCCCGGCGGGTGTCACAGTCCACTTTTCGTTATCGATCGATGTCGATTTTACCGATTTTTATCGATTTTTTTGCAGAGTTCACCTACAGGGCTAGGAGTTGGCACAGGGGGGGAAGTGAGCATGGGGATTCCGAATACAACATTAGTTTTCAGGATCGTCCATTACTTTTATCGATTTTATCGATTTTTTTTGTAAAGTTTGACCTGCGGGGCTGGGAGTTTGCATAGGGGGGTAATCGAGCATGCTGATTACGAACACAATATTAGTTTTCAGGATCGTCCATTACTTTTATCGATTTTATCGATTTTTTTGTAAAGTTCGACCTGCGGGGCTGGGAGTTTGCACAGGGGGGTAATCGAGCATGCAGATTACGAACACAATATTAGTTTTCAGGATCGTCCATTACTTTTATCGATTTTATCGATTTTTTGAAAATTTGAGCTAGGGGGCTGGAATTTGGCAAGGGGTGTAATCGAGCATGCTGATCACCCCCCTTGGGGGTGATCAGCATGCTCGATTACCCCCCTGTGCCAACTCCCAGCCCCCTAGCTCAAACTTTGCAAAAAATCGATAAAATCGATAAAAGTAATCGATAATCCTGAAAACCAATATTGTATTCGGAATCCCCATGCTCGATTACCCCCCTGTGCCAACTCCCAGCCCCGTAGGTGAACTCAGCAAAAAAATCGATAAAAATCGATAAAATCGATATCGATCGATGACGAAAAGTAGCCTGTGACACCCGCCGGGGCCCGTAGTGTATGTGTGCCAAGTTTGGTCCGGATCGGTTCAGAAATGGAATTTTCTATTCGGAACATACGTACACACAGACATACATACAGACAGACAGACAGACAGACAGACATACAGACAAACAGACATTCAGCTTTATATATAAGATAGTTGAGATCCACCAATGATTTCGACATACTGACACAACTTTTTCTAAGAAATTTGCGATATTTCAAGAAAGTAAAATCATAGATAGCCCGTTGCTTTTTGTGTCAGGCAAGCTAACCTTAGATTCAACTGGCTTGGCTCCGGAAAGGCGGAGCTCTGTAACGTAGTTAAGGCCGCTCGCGCCCGCGACGCACCTGCATCTCTCTCGCGCAAATAGTCTCTGATCATTACCTAGCCTTAATTAGGTCACGAAGCCCCGCATTCCCGAAGCCAAGTCAGTTCAATCAAATGGTACAGTGAATTTGCATAAAAGTTAGATACGCTTACGATGATTGAAGCGAAGTGCCCTTCGATTTTGTACCATTGCTGTGAATTTTTCAAGAGTTGCGCGAAAGACTGCGCAAAATTTATGCAACCAATAACAGTTTATTGTCTTTTGATGTATCTTTGCTTCGGCGTTTCAAAAAAATTACCATATCAGTTTACATTCTGTTAGGGGCAGTAGTCTTGCAAAAACTATGCATTGTTTTGAACGGTTGTTCTGTTACTTCGTAGCAAAGTTGTTCTGTTGCTTCGTAGCAAAGACGACATGAGGATAGCGTATTAGATAGAAGATGCTTGGGACTATAAGTCAAAGAAAAGCCTTGTGAACACAATCTTAAAAAATGCAGTCTTCTCTTAATATCCAGTCATAATGTTAAAATTTTTTTTCAAAATCACTGTTTGAAGATGGCTTAGCGAAGGAGAGCAGCGATAAGCGGCTTTGCGAAAAATTAAATATGCAAAAGTATTGAGAATCGTTTCTTACGCCAAATATTTCCATTTGCCATCAATTTTCTCGAGTATAATTATGAGACGAACAGATAAATGTGTTCAAAGAGAAGATTAGCGTAAATGCAAACAATATTTGTCCATTTCGCCCATCTGACCTTAGAGTATTTTCAATGTAGTCAGTCAGGAAATGCTAATCCTATGAAGGATTGGAAACGTCATTGTATTGCTATTGCTGTATAATGATAATTACCTTAACAGCCTTGTCAACGTCAGCTTTGTCTCCTTCTGCCACCTTTGTGATCAAGCTATTATCCACAGGATTATAAGTACCAAAGGTTTTTCCACTAGCTGCATCGACGAACTCATTGTTAATGAATAACTGAAATACACCACAAATCCACTAATACAGATATCTATGACGCACAGACTGGAAATAGTCAATGGCCAAAGAAATTCTGTGAAATAGCAATTGTGGTGCAATGAGAGTGCAAACAAGAGACGCTAAGGTACGCAATGACACTCATTCCATGCGTCCAAAAATTACTTCCAATCTCACCTTGGTATACTGTGGTTTAATGTCCCTCATCCCTTGAGGTATCGAACTTGCAGCTCGAATTTGGCACAAGCCACGAGATAGAACTGCACGCAGCATTTCTCTGCAACAATCAAATTTTTTTGATTTTATTTCAATGACATTTTTCCTAGAAAAGTTGGGAAGAAGAGAAAGAAAGAATGCGAACGATGCACGAAAGCATCGCGTTGCTCATAAAATTCTAAAAACGTCTAGCATACAAATATCTCTAAACAAATACGTCATTGTAATGCTGGAATGAAGATTTTGAAATGCCTTTGTGACCAGATTTTTTATGCTAGATTTATAAAATGTACGAAAACGCCTCAATATTGCTTGGTTACGCAATACTCAAAGGTGTGAAAGAAAGAAGAAAATCAAGCAAGTGGTTGCAGTAGAATCTCTTCTCCGCCTGTCTCGTCCCATAATCGTTACATCTTTGTTTGTCCTTCGGAAACATTAACATCATAATTCTAGCAGCATGTCACGTAGTTCCAATGGGAACTCTTCGCAAACCAAATTCTAGTTGAAATCAAGGAAACCGGCGCTCGAGACATTGAGAAAAATTTATTATTGTGTGACTCGTTTCTATGAGACAGACAAACTGCACAGCGTTTTCCACTCTTTAGATCTGAGAAGAAAACGTTGGGATATTCATGGAATTCAGTATAAAGCAGTTATTTTGTAATGTTTAATGATAATTACTGACTTTCACATTCAACAGCTAAAGAGCTATGTACATGTAGCTTTATGTACTTTCACTATTTGCAGAAAGGATCATACAGTATGTTAGAAACTCTTTGTGCTATATTTCACAGAAAAGATGCGTTCATTTTGTGAATAATTGCAATTATTTCCAATCAATGGCGGTCAGGAATATTCATTCGAGGGGTGGGGGGACTCTATGAGAGGATGGGCGTGGTTTAAAGATAAAATTGTTTTGATATTTTGGAAAACAGCTAAACAGCTTTCAACTGTTAGAAGTGCTCTTTTATCTTGCCGGAAATGATTTAGAAAAAACGTGTCAAACTGGACCAAACGTGCCAGTTTTTTCTCGACACGTGGCAGGAAGGCTGTCCTCGTAGAATCTTTTTTAAAAAGTTCTTAAAGCAAATAGTGTATTTTATGAAAGCCTTTAAAAAAATAAGTCCGGATAACGGAAAAGTACCGATTTTAGTGCACTTTCCTATTCACTGAATGATGTAGTTTATAGACACGGAGATTGAATAGCAAGCAGTAAATGACTTTCAAGCAGCAATTTCTTGAAGTCAATATGCAGATTGCCGAGCATTTACCTTAACGCCCATGAGCGCCGTTTTTGCAGATTTCCAGCTCCAAAGAACGAACAACTAGGAAAACGCCTTTAATGAGCAAAATTTGCTGCGATTGCTCTGAAATGTGTAAGTTGGTAGTATTTACCACAGGAGAAAAGGAAAACGTAATTGATTTCTTTGATGAATTCAAGTTGAAGCCTTGCGATTCTATTGTATCTGGACTGCATTAACGCAACTTATTGACCTATTTGCTCACCAAATGACTCATTGTTCTTCTTTTTGACTAATCTCTACATAGGAAGCTAAAATTTGTCATGCAAAGATAAAGAAATGTGTCAGACCATGGTGTTAATTACATGTGAGCAAACGCGCAATCAATTCATATCGCTTGGAAAGATTAATCATATTTATTCATTCCTTCTATTTTTTGCACTTTTTTCATAGTTGCTAGTGGCACATGGGGGAGGTCATTTGAGTGTAAATTCAATTTGAGTAAACATGCTTAGAGAAGTGTGGCAAATAGGGCCCGGCATGAGTCTTTTTCCAGGCTTTTTGAAAGCCAAGTCCTCCCTTCCTGACTTTCAAATTTTACGAAGTCCCCTTCATTTCTTTTGGAAACGTCGACTAAAAAACCTAACCTTAAACCTAACCTCACTTGTGTTTTTCGGACCCACAAAAGTGATATCTTCTCCTTTGCTTTTTTGCCCGAAAACGAAGTTCAGCCTGCTTCCAAACGATTTGTGCCGGCTCTGGTGGCAAATAAAATAGAGCTGAATAGAAGGTATGTGCCAAAAAACGGAGCTATACGGTGGTGCACCCATTTCTTACAGAAAGCAAACATTAAGGAGAAAAGCAAATTATGAGGCAGTAAATAACACGAACTTATGAATGAGAGCGATGCCAATATATTAGTCGAATGAACTTGAATATGAACTGTAACGAAGTGGGACTCAACTGCAAAGGCTCGTTGAACTACAGGTATCAGGCTATTCTTGAGACTAAAAATTTTCGTGGTAGACGATTAATGTATGATCGGTTTCCAGATTCGTGTGGAGGTGTATTGCAGACTTTGCCTGATAACACAGGTAAACATGTTAAACCTCCACGTCGTAGCATTGCTTTTCGTACTTTCTCTCTAGCAAAAACCGCCACGCGGTGAGTTGGCAAGACTCCACCTCCGCACGAATCTGGAAGCCGATGATAATCATTTCAGTCTAAAGTTCAAAATGAAAAAACTTTGAGCAAAAAATGGAAATTAGTGCATAAAAAATCAAATAGTTGACCAGTTCAGGCTATGGCAGGCGACATGAGCAGCAATGATCATGTCACACGGTTTAAAGCTGTCAAAGTGCACTTTGTACACCAAGAACATATATTTGCACGAAAACGCTATGACAACTTGAAAGAACTCTCTTTCCTTTTTTCTTTCAGAAAAGTCAACCCTTTTGAATGCGCTATTTGGTTTCTCAGGAGAACAAAGATTGGGCTGCTTGCGACCAACGATACAAAGTGGCATATGTCAACGTTAAAGAAACAAAAAATTATAGTGAGTTTTACCTTTTGAAGATTTTGTAGCACAGTCAGACCGGCACCTCCAACGGAGAATAATGAGTAACTGAAAACGTTCATTCTTGAAGCGCGAATGCAATGCCGGAATTTACAGGTCTCAACTTGACAAAACTTTAACCTGTTCCAAATAGCGATCGTGTCACCTTTCTAGGATTTTGAAATTTATAGAGACACTACAAACTACTCCGAATTCGTGGATTAGGAAGTTCGGGTGCGTGGCGTTAGGTACCCAGCCGAGGTGCGGGCGTTAGGTACCCAACTATTAGTGGTATACACTAGGCCACGCCCCTTAGCGGCTTTATAGAGGGTGCCTAACGATACACCGAATCCTAGCTGCTAGAACAGCTCACCTAGCTCGTTAAAGCGCTGGCGCTTGCGACACAGAAAAATAATAATCCGACGAAATAAAAAAATTGCTCGAATGAAAGCGCAAGTTTGTACACAACGTTTTTTCTATTGCTTCCTTTTTTATCAATTTTAGAATCACAGAAATTCGGAGATGAAAGTCAAAAATAGGGCAAAGCTTGCATGAGCACATAGATTTGCAAAAAGAAATTGTAGTAATCTGATCTAACCGATAATGTCAGAGGGAATTTCAAAATGATAAATCTTGAAGAATACCAAAATTTTATAATTTTAATGAAGCAAATGGTACTTTAGGAGATGCCCCTGGCAAATAAGTTGCACGGAATATTCTTTTGTTTCAAAAAACTGCTTCAAACATATGTTTGGCAATGAGAAACGGAACCGATTGGAAGACAAGCTTCGATAAAACTTTGTTATCAGGAATAGGAAAGCTCATGAGACTTTATGGAAAATTATGTAATCTATCAATTTATGGGAACGGCACTAACTTTGTTCCAGTCAGGGTAACCCTTTTGCGTTAATATTGCCAAAAGGATCGTGGACTACATTATCGTAGATTATTGAAGTTATTACTTTGGTCATTGCTGAGGCCAACAGAGTCATGGGACATTACATTGATAGGCACACATTTATTTCTTTATTTCGGAAGAGTTCGCATCCCTTTGAACTTCATTGAGTTACTGTATTCTATTATGCTTGTGTTTTCTGTAGTATTTTTTGGAGTACATTTATTGCAATTCTTTCATATCCACTCTCTTTTTCAGCAGCCAAAATATGATCGATTTATCCAACCAAGATTATGAATTTTCTTGTAACTCTCTAAAAAGCGAAAGACTTTGTCAAAATTGTTCTAGGTAGAGCTTGTTGCTTTTCCTGTTTCATTCTATTGTACATTCATCCGAAATTGGCATAGCTCTATAATGCAAAATTTTTATTCATTGGAACAGAGCTAATGCCCTTCACATAAATTAATGGGTCACATAGTTCTCCATAAGGTTCCGATTCCTGATGGCAAAGTTTTATCGAAGCTCTTCTACCAATCGGTTCCGCTTCTCATTGTCAAACATATGTTTAAGTTTTTTAAAACAAAAGAATATTCCGTGCAACTTATTTGCCAGGGGCATCTCCTAAAGTACCATTTGCTTCATCAAAATCATAAAATTTTGGAATACCACAAAATTTACCATTTTGAAATTCCCTCTGACATTATCGGTTAGATCAAATTATCATTTCTTTTTGCAAATCTATGTGAAGTGCTCATGGAAGCTTTGCCTTATTTTGTTTCATCCGAATTTCTGTGATTCTAAAATTGATAAAAAAGGAAGCAACATAAAAAAAACTTTGTGTACAAACTTGCGCTTTCATTCGAGCAAATTTTTTTATTTCGTTGAATTATCTTTTTTCTGCAGGTCGCAAGCGCCAGCGCTCTAACGAGCAAGGTGAGCTGTTCTAGCAGCTAGGATTCGGTGTATCTAGCGTTAGATACCCGCTATAAAGCAACCAAGGGGCGTGGCTTAGTGTATACCACTAATGGCTAGGTACCTAACGCCCGCACCTTGGCTGGGTACCTAACGCCCGCCCCCCGGAAATTCAACAAACCCACAATACTTAGTGCAAGTCCATCCTAAATTTCAATGTTGGCAATTCTTTGCTAAACATGGTAACTTTAGAGGCGTCATGGCTTGCCGCGCAACGTGCAAAACACAAATGAATGACACTTATGTACTTGGTCCCCATCAAATCAATTCTACCAAAGAAAACATTGTTCGACATTCGATTTGAAATTTCAGATTCGACTTTTGAATAGTAATCGAAAACTCGAATTATGGCAAGCTGCGATCAAAAATTGGAAATTTCAATACTTCAAAGTCAAACCACAATGGTTGGTCGCCTCATCGTGGCGTGGGGGTGACACTGGGTGTCGGACTGCGATGCACAGCCGAGTGTATACTCAGGTATGGCCTCCCAAGCTGTAAAGGAGCTCGACTTTCCGGTTTCGGCCGGAAGCCTAGCTAAGAACTGGCCACGCCAGATCCTCCGCCGTCTGGCTTCTTCTGGTGGCTAGGCGGTCCCTCCCCGCTCCAAGCCCCGGGTCAGCGATCGCCCCGTGGAAATCAAGAGTAGGCCTAGTAAGCCACCCCTTGTAGGGGAAAATTCATATTACTCCTCCAGTTAGAAGATTAGAAAGAAACCCTGCACATCGTATCCCGCCTACGGCGCCGGGTGGTAGCAAGAACGATGTCAGGGTACTCAGGGCGCCTTTCGGATTGGACAAAAACGACACGTCTGCCCGGACGACACGCCATGGAGACTGCCTCATGCTCTGCACCTACAACGCCAGGACAGTCTCCACAAACGCCGACCTCCACGCTCTTCTCGACGCTGCAGAGCACATCAACTACCACATCATCGCTCTGCAGGAAACGAAGTCCAGGAAGAAGGACGTGCGACAGATGAATGATGGGACACTCATCATTCGTGGTGAAAGGGTCCCATCACGAAACGTGGGAGGCGTCGGCTTTGTTGTCACCCATCTATCGTCCATCTTGTCGATTCGCACGAGATCCTATCACCTCGACTAGGCATATTACGACTACGCCCTCCACGTCAGAAGACCATCAGCATCATCAACTGCTACTCGCCAACATCAGCAGCTGACGACTTAGAACTAGATGCTTTCTACAAAGACGTGGAGGAGGTTGTCTGCAACGAAAAGTCCTTTTACAAGTATGTTGTGGGCGACTTCAATGCGAAAATTGGGATGCCACTAGAAAAGGAATATAGGATCGGGAAGTTTGGATATGGGCTCCGAAACGAAAACGGCAACCGTCTCGTTGGGCTCCTCTCCGCCGCACGACTCTTCCATGGAAACTCCATCTTCATGAAGAAAGAATATCGCCGGTGGACTTGGGAATCGCCCAACGGAACGACTCAAGCGGAGATCGACCACATTCTCACCAACCGAAGGTGGAGCTTACTCGATGTCTCTGTAGTTCCATCCTTCTGTAGTGGCTCCGATCACCGTCTCCTTCGAGCGAAGATACGACTCAGCCGAAGGCTGGAGAAGAAAGTCTGTTACACAGTGCCGCGAGAAGGAAGGAAATCGTTTATGACGGTGACAGGCTGGAAGAGCTCATATCAAGATGTGACTGGCCCATCGAGGAGGACCTAACGTACGATTACGATCGGCTTCTGAAGGGATTGCGAACCTGCGGCGAGTGCGCCTCAGTGACTTCTGAGAAGAACTTGGAACGTATTTCGAAGATCACCAAGGAATTGCTCGAAAGAAGAAGATCTCTGAGGCAGAATGCGAATGCAACCCATCTCGAGCGATTGATAGCTAACGCCAGTTGCAGAACAGCTTTGCAGGAGGATCTTAGGAAGCACAGGCAAGCCAAGATACTGGAAGCAGCAGAAGGAAGACGAAGTCTTAAGAAATGCCGAAGGTACCCCTCTGTAAGTATCAAGTACCGCTGGCTGCACAATTGAACGAAGACGGGACTACGACTTCTACCCGATACAAGATGGAATCTATCGCGAAGAACTTCTACACCAACCTCCCGCTCATGCCGATGCCGATGCCCGTTATTCCCACTGGAGAAGTACCACCACGAATTCTACCTGCTGAAGTGCGCACGGCGATTCAGACCATGAAGACGTCTACGGCCCCAGGACCAGACCATCTTTCCGTCGAATTTCTGCTAGCCGAAGGACAACGTCTACACAAGATTCTCGCGTCGCACCTGACATCTTACCTTCAGAAGCAGATGATTCCCGACCTGTGGAAAACGTCAAGAACCGTCCTTCTCTTCAAACAAGGCGAACGGGAGGATCTTCGGAACTACCGTCCAATACGCCTGCTTACAAGAAGAGGATACTTAGTCGTAAGCACATCCAGATAAGACACACATTGTGTTAAAGCGCTTGAAACGCTGATTCCGAATCTGTAGTTTCTAGCAGCGGAGCGGTTTTGTAGAAAGGGTATGGGGGGAGCCTTCTTCGAGGCACCTGCAGCAACTCTCTCCCTATCTATGAGCACTGTAGAGGAGTACCAACAGGTGGCAATTGGCCTAGTGGTAAATAATTGGAATGAAGATTCTAATAAGAATTATTTTACTCGTACTATTTTGGTTTTTTTGACACATCTAACTTCGCATCAATATCATCAGATATTTCAGGCTTTAGGGCCCTAAAGCCATTTAGCAGCTCAATTTCGCGAAAATTGCGATAAAGTTGCAAGCGAGAGGGATTAAAAGCTTGACACTCTCCCAATCAAGCAAGCTTACCACTAGGCCAGTTGCCACCAGTTGGTATTCCTCTACAGTACTCATAGATAAGGGGAGATCTGCTGGCGGGCGTCTCAGCCCTGGAGGGAAGCACCCTCTCATGACTCCTTCTACAAAAACGCTCCGCTGCTAAAAACTGCAGATTTGGAAACGGCGTTTCAAGCGCTTTAAGATGATGTGTTCATCTAGATTGTGCTTTCGACTAAGTATCCTCTCCTTGTTAATGTGCTGTACAAGCTTTTCACGAAGATCCTCACTCGCATATCTAGGACACTGGATGAAGCCCAACCCCAAGAACAAGCTAGATTTCGCAAAGGATTCAGCTGCATGGATCACATCCAGACGGTTTCGAGGGTCATAGAAGTCTGCCAGGAGTACCGACTGCCTCTCTCCTAACCTTCGTCGACT